GATCAGCAGGGGCAGGGCAGGCTCCTTATCTTCTTCTGACCATTAGAAGCAGAACTAAAACCCCCAGCACGGGGTGGCTAAAAGCTGTGGAGTGGAGTAGAAGAAAATAAAAATGTAAACAAGGGAAGTAAATAAAAACCCAATTTTGCCTGCTCTTTTACTTGGAAAAAACTAAGGCCCTCCCGGTGGGTCACTACAACCTGATCTTCTAGTTCCATCTGTCAGGCCTCTGCACCCACATTATTAAGATGACAGAGTCCACCTTATCCATTGCTGGTATGTTCCTCTTCCAGACACTGGTTCCTGCTCCTTTTGGTGCCTGTTTTAACAGTGCTCAGGACATCATGCCTCAGCCTTAGGGGGATACCCAGCTCTCTGGGCTACCCTGTGGACTTGCACTTGTGATCACACCTTCTCAGGGAAGAATCTTTCTCACCTTCCTCTCAGGAGCAGGTACAGCACTCCATACAAACCATGTTCCTTCAGGGAGACTCATTGGACACATGTACTACAGACATCAAGCCCAATGCCTTTTAATTTGCTCTGGGTTTTGCCAGGAATATGTTCCTTGTTTTCAAACTTTAATCCCAAATCCAAATCTATGGGTGTCTTCATTGGTGTCCTTGAGGCTCCCCATTGTAACAGCTTGGATACCTCTCCTCTCACCTCTCCCTGGGCCCTGGGCGAGGCTCCTCCTGACTCAACAGTTGCCCTTCTAAGCCTTGCACAAAAAACACTAGAATGGGCCTGGAGAGATGGCTCAGCGGTTAAGAGCACTGACTGCTCTTGCAGAGGACCTGGGTTCGATTCCCAGCACCCACATGACGGCTACAAACTGTCCTTAACTCCAGTTCCAGGGGAATCTGAAGCCCTCTCCTGACCTCCACGGCATTGCATGACATGGGTGCACTCACATACATGCAGGTAATACATCATACACATTAAAAAAAAAACAAAACAAAAACCACTAGAATGGCACAAGCCCAGCCACCTGAAAGGCTTTCCTACAGAGAGGGACCCTTGCAGACCTTGGACCTGCCGCTCTTCTGCTGCCCACAGACAGGCTTCTCTAAGACAAAGTGGAATCAGACCTGGGCCCTTCACCCCTGGGCCCTTTACCTCCAGAAGCAAGCAGCTCCCCATGTCCAGTTCCCTGTCCAAATGCTAGGGTGCCTGAGGGGTCACTTCTCCCCTAGATCCCCAGACCACCTGGCGAGCCTCTTGGCATTCATGGAGTAACTGGTGAGGGTTGCTAGTAGACTGCTGGTGGCACTGTGACCAGAATCTGCAGCAATGCTCAGTGAGGAACAGGTAACATCCATCTCCTAGTGAGGATGTCTCCAGTACAGGGTGGGCTCACACCTGGCCACTCTCCAGGCAGTCTCTCAGCACACAATACCCTCAGTGACACATGGCCCCACCCTCACATGTATGATACACTGATAGGCTAGAGAACTCTGGGAATCTGCCTTCCCGGGACCCAAATACAAATAAAATTCACATACCTGACATAAGACTACAATGCCAGGCCTTTCTAGAACACCTCACCTTCCCTTCCTTCAGGACAGTCATTCCTTCTGGTGTCTGCTGAGTTCCTATGCCTGTTCAAGAGCCCCCGATACAAGTTTTAGGACAATCTTCTGAGTTCACCACAGCCTTCTCTTCTGTGTCACGTCTTTTGCTACCTCCCTGTGTAAGCACACTGCTGCATCTGGACTCATGGATAATCCAGGATAATCTCGTATCTCAATATCCTATTACAATTACACCTGCAAAGCCCCTCCACCACACCCAGACACAGTTAATTAGATTTACACAGCTGTTATATCCCTGTCTGTCACTCTTAGGAAGGAGCTCCTCTAAGTTTGACTGGAGAGCCCTATCTTTCTGTTTGAAGAGCAACATTTAATATTTCCCTGATAGAAAGTAGATGGCATCAGATATTCTCACAGTTTCTCTAAAATGTTTCTATTCAACCTTCACTTCTTGAAATACCTATGTGTCTGTTTAATATATAGATACAGTTCTCACTGTGTTGCCTCAGACTCCTGGGCTCAATTCTCTTGCCTCAGCCTCCCAAGTGTCTCAGAAAAGATACATATATCACAGCACCCAACTTGAAATGTATTTTCTGCTGGACTTAGAATTTTAGGTTACCAGTTACTTATGTTGAAAATTTCAAGGAACTAGAGAGATGACTTAGTGGTTAAGAATACTTGCTGCTCTTGCAGAGGATCCTGATTCAGTTCCCAGGATCCACAATGGTGGCTTACAACGCTCTTTAACTCAAGTTCCATGGAATCTGATGCCCTCTTCTGGACTCTGTGGGCACTAGGAATTCATATGGTGCACATACATACAAGCAGGCATTCACACATACACATATCATAGAAAATAAAATTTCAAACTCACGAAGAGGTAAATAGTAGTACATACTTTTCTCCTGGGTCCATCAGTCATTAACACTTTTCTGTATTTGCTTTTACCTCGCTCATTATGTATAGTCAATTATTACTTTTAGAGTTGACTTTCAGAGTCATTTTGCACACAAGCATAATGACCCTTTGCCTCCAGCATAGAGATCTCAAAGGAACTAGAGGATCTCCATCCTTGATGTGATGCAGTCAAGACACTTAATTACTGTGGAATCCATCATTGGCAGAATTTTACTGAGCAATATACAACACATGTTCAGGTTTTCTCAACCTTACTTTGCCCTGTGTGTCTGATCATCTTTTCCTGACCCAGGATCTATTACAGTATCATCTAATCACACACTAAGGATTCTGTTCGCTTGAGTTTCCTAGGGGAAATATGCTCTCTTCTATCAGGTGGATGGTACAGGGATCACCTTCTGCACTTGTTCAGCCCATGAGAAAACTTGAACTTCAGCTCCTGTGAGGACAGTTCAGTTTCCAGCTTACCTTCACATTTAGGGTGTAGCTCTCTAGGGCCCTGAGCCTGGCTCTTGGCTTCTGTCCCAGCCTGTGAGACTGTCCTGACTTCACAGCCTCTTGGCCACTGCTTTCATGACTGAAACTCCCCTTCAGTTTCAGTTGCAAATGTCAGCCTTACCAGCAGAGAACCCTGTTCCCAAGATGTGATCCTAAAGATCCTGGCATAACTGGTTGTTCTAAGGAGGATTAGTCTGAAACAATCATGTTCCCACTGTGCCTCCCTCTTCAACTTGGACTCCTTACTGTTAATATATATATATTTGAGACAGAGTCTCCCTGTAGCCCCAGCTGGCCTGGAACTCACTATGTAGACCAGGCTGGCCTTGAACTCACAGAGATCCACCTGCCTCTGCCTCCCGAGTGCTGGGACTAAAGGCGGATGCCACCATGCCTGGCTTGTTACTGTATTTTTTAAAGATTTATTTCTATTTTTATTTATGTGTATATGTGGGAGGGAGTGTCAAAGGAGGCCAGAAGAGGGCATAGGATCCCCTGGAGCTGGAGTTACAGGTGGTTGTGACTGCCTGACATGGGTGCTGGGAACCAAACTCAGCGGCTCTTAACTGCTGAGCCAGCCATCCCCAATTACTGTTTTTTGGCTCTTAGATGCTGTAAGATGTTGCATGCACCATCCTTAACCATCTTCTCTAGGATGTGTGGATACAGTGTTTTACCATTGTTCCTAGAACAATATTTCTGTGTTGTCGTGTCATTCGCGCCCCCCCCCACGCCCGCCCGCCCCTTTGGATTTGGAACTTGCTTTGTAGCTCGGGCTACTCTAATTGTTTCTGTTGGGTGTTTTGAGGGCCCAACTTGGTGTTTTGTTATCTTCTGCTTCTTTTACTTAATAAATTCACTCAAAAGCAAAAGAACAGCTACTGTAGATCATTCTTCCCACAGTACAGGATGCCCTGCCAGATCACAGGATGCAGCCTGCTGTCTACTGGCACTGTATCTTCAGGTTTGCTTTCAGTCATAGCAGAAATACCCTAAGGGCTCCTCCTTTGCTGATTCTTGTATGGGGCTTTGCCATAGGCGCCTTCATTTCTCCACCTAGAAACTTTGACCAGCTGTTCTGGGATTTAAAATCACCAACCTAAGGACTAGCAACACTAGCTGGCTCCAGGGAAGAGATCCTACTGTGCAGTGCGGAGTGGGGGAAGGAGGATAAGGGTGGGGCGGGGGGATAGGACGGCACCGGAAAGGGGCTTTTCTCAGATTTGTGAAACTTGAAGAGTCCTAATTGATTCTGTTCTGTTGTGAATATCCTACTCAACATGTATGCATAATCCACATCTTAAACATATACGCTCTAGAGCCCGCCTTCCACAGGCATCCAGGCTTGGCCTTCAGCTGTCCACTACAAGTGGCAACTTGGCTTCTGGTGTGTCCCTGGCCACACCAGTTTCGTCCCATTTCAGGAAAGGCACAGACCAGCTATACGCTGACTCTCTACAATCCAATTCTGGGAGCGCCATCTTCTGGCCCAGCCCACTGAGAACCAGCTCCCGACCTGCGTTTCGGGTCCAGCCAGTCCATCGAACACTCGCCGGCCTCCAGAGCGACCTCAGCGGGTATTGCCGAGATAATGGCCGCACCGAGACACCTAGACCAGCCTTCTCCCAAGCACTGCCCGCGTGCGCTGCGTCCGAGGGGTACCTAGGAGCAGCAGCCAGGGCGGAACTCACCAGGAGGCGGTGGCCTCCGGACCAGGCCCTCCCCGAGGCCCGCGTGGGTCCCGCCCCGCCCGGCCCGGCGGGCGATCACGTGGAGAGCCACCCGGAGGCGGAACGGCCTAGGCCGCAACCCCAGGTCTCTACGGGTCCCGAGCCCCTCGCACCCTAGCCATGCGCCCCCCGCGTGCCCGCGCCACGCCGCTCCCGCTCCTAGCTGCGCTCCTGGCTGCGCCCCTCGTGGAGCTGGCCGAGACCCCGCACCTGGTGCGCGTTGACGCGGCCCGCGCCCTGCGGCCCCTGCGGCCCTTCTGGAGGAGCACCGGCTTCTGGTGAGGCCCACCACGCGCTCCTGCCGAGCCCAGGCGCGCCCCTTGGCCCTGTTCTCTGAAGGCCCCTCATCTCACTCTTGGGCTCCCCAACCATCACAACTGGACGTTCAGGAGTGAACACCAAACTCCATTCCTCAGGGCCCACCCTCCTCTTAGGCCAGCTCCATCTCTGGGCTGCAGTGTGGGTTTTCTAGCTGAGTGGGTACCCGGTCTGCCAGAGGCTTCCTAGTGGCTCCTAGGGATCAGGAGCACTGTGAAAGCATCGCACGGTAGGTACTCGGGCTGTGGGCTCATGATAGGCCCTTCTGTGGGAGTCTCCCAGAGCCGCAGGACCTGACCCTGGGTGTTGAACCTGACAAGGTCTCTGCAACTCCCCAACTCCCCCTAGGAATGCTCTGGCCCTGCAAGTATGCTGTTAGAATATGATCCTCTGCCCTGTCGAAGCCCCACCCCCAAGGAAGAGACTGCAGATCATTCCTGGTGGAAGGGTAATTTTTATCACCCGTCGTGCAGCCCCTCACTGTTCATATGCAAGGGCCTGGACAGTCAGGTGCCAGATCTGTAGAACCTGCTGTGCTGCAGGCCTCTGTCCGGGACAAACAATGCACTCTTTGTCTTGTCCCCAGCCCCCCACTGCCTCATGACCAGGCTGACAAGTTCGACCTTAGTTGGGACCAGCAACTGAACCTTGCATACATAGGTGCCATCCCACACGGTGGCATCGAGCAGGTCCGAGTACACTGGCTGTTGAACCTCGTCACTGCCAGGTGAGTGATGCTGAGGTGGGTGCTCTGGGGGCTGCTAGCTAGAGTTTATCAGAGATGCTTCAAAGTACAGTGCTGGGCTGTGTAATGAGGGAGCATCATGACGGGACACAGGGCTGGGGGCGTCTGAGAACAAATAACCCTACAATTCCTGTCAGAGCATCTTGTTGGTAGGGCAAGATGGTGGGAGAAGTCTGGCTGCAACAAGGGCAGCTCCTGGATGGAGCACAGGCATCTTGAGAGTGTGGTTGGTGTCTGGGGTTAGTGTAGGGCCGTACATGGGCCACTCTGTGTAGTCACCAATTAAGCTATATAGGGATGCCATACCTGAAGGTCAGGTTGGGGTTGTGTTGGTTACAATCACCTTTGACCTCCACATTGGGCAAACTGCTCTGGAGCAGGTGGCTGCTTTGCAAGGACCCAGCCAAGATGAGTGCTAGGTACAAGGAGACCTTTCAGAAACACAGACCCTCACCCCTTGGCCATATACCCAGCTCTTACCTGGTGCCTGGTGGGGCAGTGGGTAGAAGAGTGTCCTTTTGGCACTTGAATACTACATAATTTGCAAGACTCTATTCAGATAAGATTATAACAGTGTTAGCCTGGGTGCTGCCTAGGCTGAGGGACCTTGTGTGCAGCTACCAGGGCTGAGTGGACACCAGGGGGCAGCATGGGTCTCTAGAGGGTCTCAATCACTGAATGTTTGGGGTCCTTGAGTATGCCAAGGGTGCCACCCTTTCCTTTCCTAGTTGGAGTTCCCTGGCTTCTCCAGGGCAGAGGTGACCCAAGGGTTTGTCTCTATAAGAACTCCATCCTTTGTATAAATCCTAGGAAGGAGCTCAGTGCCTGCTCATGGACATGGGTCTTGGCTTTGGGAGGAAGCTGGTAAGCAGGCCCTGTCCCTGCTAGAGGGCAGAGTCAGCAGCTATGAGATCCTCACGGAGGGCATGTGCAGCCTCCACAGCATTGTGCACACTGGGAAACAGCTGCTCATCCTCAGCCCCCTGGTCTTCCCCAAGGAAACCCCCTCTCCTCAGTGTGTCTCTCACTGAGGGGCTACAGCAGGCCAGAAGCAGGGTGATGCCCAGGGCCCCATAGTCTCTGCGCAGGTCCCGTAGTGTGGCCATGCCAGTCACATCCAGGAACAACAGAGGTGAGCAGTCAATGACCACTGTGTGGAAACCGAATGCTGGGGGTACCATCAGCCTGGCCCTGCTGCTTGCTGAACCTAGATCCTTGCCATCAACAAGATTTTTGTCATTAATACCTGCCTCTGGGTTCTGCTCCCTCTTCCTGGCTGCTGAGCGTCCTGCATCCAGCCCCGTAAGGCTGTAGAGTGACCGGAGGAAGAAGTCCTTGTTGGCATAGTAGAGTGGCCCTGTGAAACGGAATACCCGCACCTCAGGTGGGGGCAGAAGGCCCTCAAACTCAGTAGCATCCTCATAGAAGTTGGAGTCTCCTATGCGAGCAAGCAGGGCAGCCCGTGGGCGCTGTGTGCGACCTGCCAGGCTGAGCAGTGAGAAGACCACCCCAGCTAACAGCCCGGCCTCGGTGCTGACCAGTATACAGGTGGCTGCAGTGGCTACCCAGACCAGTGCATCAGCAGGGCTCAGCCGCCAAAGCTGTGGGAGGTCCTTCACCTTGCGCAGTGCCCCCCGCAGGCTGACCACAATGATGCAGGCCAGCACACATCTCTGCAGGTCGTGGAACAGCGGAGCCAGTACCAGCAGTACCAGCAGCACCACAGCAGCACTAACCACGCTGGATAGCTGAGTCTGGCAGCCTGTAGTTATCTTCACCAGGGTTTTAGACAGAGCAGCGCTAGTGGCGAAACAGTGGAAGAAGGCAGGCAGCACGTTGCAGCAGCCTACAGCCAGCAGCTCCTGGTTGGCACGAACAGAGTAGCCATGACTTCGGGCGAACATCTCCGCCAATGAGATGGAGAAGGCTGAGCCCACGAGAGCCAGGGACACAGCATCCAGTGCCACACGCCACATTAATGTAGGGTCTGGTACCCGTGGGGCCACAAAGCCAGTGGAAATGTTGCCAGCCACACTTGAGCCAAAGCGTGTATGGAGCTGCCCAAAGTGGGACACAAGTGTGGCCACCACGATGACCAGCAGCTCTGTGGGCACTGGCACCTTTAGACGGTGTCGGTAGCGGTCTGAGAGCTCCTTAGCAGCCAGCAGCACTGCCAAGCCTACAGTGCTAGTGACCACATCGCACACATTGGCCTGTCCCACAGACTGCAGCAAGCTCAGCCATGTGCGAATCACCATCCCTAGGCCCTGGTGCCGAGGAATCTTCACACCCAGCAGGTGCTTAACCTGTGAGGTCAAGATGGTCACAGAGGCTCCCATGGCAAAGCCATCAAGTAGAGGTTGTGAGAGGTAGGTGGACACAAAGCCCAGCTGGAAGACACCCATGAGGACCTGTGGATAGAGTACAGTCAGTTTAGTAGATCTCCTGGCAATAGCCAGCAGCAGCATAACCCGGGGGGCAGTCAGAGCACAGAGCCTAATGATCCACCCTTGCTTATTTCTCCATATGGACTCCTGCATGCATATGGGCCAGTAAACACAGGGACATGCATGTGGGTGTTGTGGTTGGCTGTGGATGCTCACTTCTTACCCTCTGTTGCCTGCAGAAATTGGTTTTGTTTCAGGGCCATAGACATCAGAAGGCAGCCCCTTTTCCTACATGTGGCACAGCTCCCTCTACCTAGCTCCCTCCCAGGCAGCCATGGAATAGACGAGGGTCAGGGCAGACAGGGTCAAAAAGAAACAGCCAGGTGTGAGGACACCATGGTTGCAGTTCATATCAGCCATAGCCACGTTTGGCCTGGCGGCCCCACCCTAGCCAAGCTAGCCCCACGTACCTCTTCCTTTCTGTGCCCTCAGCCCCTCTGGTGCCCAGGCCTGAGCTCCACCTTTACCCTAGCCTGACTGTGCTCTCTCAGCCTGAAGGATGCCTTCTCCACATCCTCCCTGGCTTGCCTTAATGTGAGTGGTAAGAACCTGAGGGTGCTCTGAGCAGCTCAGCCTGTTATACAGCTAACTCTTCACCTGGTAAAATCCAGCCACCAGTGTTAGGGCAGTGGCAGTGCGGATGGCATGGCAGTCCTTCCCGCAGTCTTGTAGCCCGAGCGCCAGTGTGGTAGCTGAGTTGTTGAGGGTGCTATCATTGTCTCTGGGCCCCAGAGCATCCTGGGAGGGGTCAAAGCCAGCCATCTGGAGCTCTCGGTCCACCACCTGACCCACCATGAGGCACAGTAGGCTGAAGATGCCCACGTTGACATGGCGTGAGGTGCCCATGAGGAAGTAGATGAGGTTGGCAAAGAACGAGGTGTAGAGGCTATAGATGGGCTGCAGCCCGGCAAGCAGTGAATAGGCGATGGCCTGTGGCACCAGAATGATGCCAATAACCAATCCAGACATGATGTCACCAGCCAGGTACTCCCGTGGGCGGTACTGGCGCAGCCAGTGCACGGCAGGAAACAGATCCTGCACCAGTGCTTGTGCACATGGCACACTGCAAGTGCAGCTCTGTTTCAGCCTGGCCTTCAGTCTCCCCAGTAAGCTCTGGGTCACGGGGGGCTGCCGTCGAACCAGTACCAGTGCCCCACTCTTCTGTTGGGACTCAGGGGAGGCATCCATCTTGGCACACCAGGCCTTCAGGCCTACCTGCAAGGAGAATGGGCATGGTCGGGGACCTCAGCTCTTGGAGACCAGGAGCCAGCTTCACATAGGAAGGTCTAGGCAGCAGTGGAGACTTTGTCCCCACAAGGTAGACAATGAAGGTTATTCTTCCCACTGCTCTGTGTGGATGGAATGTGAGGCCTTGAGCTTGAAAATCCTAGTTTTGTGGTGAGAGGTGACCAGCACATGCTTCAGGGTGACATTCTGCCAGCTGGCCCCAGCTGTGCTCTGTGCTCTACCTAATTCAGCCCCTGCCTGAAATCCACCTGAAGCATGCTGAAGGTTACCTACCCAAGGTAGGGGCTGGGCTGGGCTGGGCCTCCACCAGCTCACATATTCTCAGGCCAGAGTGAAAGCAGAGGCAGATGCATGCGAACTGAGCTTGAGCTCCATCCACTCCCTATCCACCTTCCCAGCTACCTGGACTGACAAGAGGCTCCACTAATCACCCCATGTCCACACAACACCCCCACAAGCTATCACCTGCTCTACAGTGGACACTGGGGGCTGGCAGAAGGCCTTGTATATTATAGATATTGGGACTCCCCCCTGGTCTGTGCCACCCCTCCCTGTGGGACAGGGGAGTTTAGAGAGTGCCTCAGCAGGTACCAGTGTGCTCTGGAACCAGTGTGCCCGTGCCCTTTCCCTGAGTACTGAGGCCCTGCCCAGAGGTACAAGTGCGCTGAACAGACACACTGCTCTCCAATGTCCGCCTGTGGTCTGGTCATCGCAGCCCCTTCTGATTTTGCCTTGGTGCTGAGTTCTCAGGCCATGTTGATTATGTGGTAGCCTTGGGTCCTGTTTACAGGTTCTAAAGTACTTGTTTGTAATATTAAGCAAACGCTCTGTTCTCTTGGCGTCCAGGACACAGTGGTGCCTGTTGGAGCCCACTGTGCCTGGCTTGGGTGTAGTGGCAGTAGCTTCCCTGGAAGAACAGAGTGGTGGTCTGCCGAGCTGCCCAGCCCTTTAGGAGCATTATTAGAGCAGTGACCCCTTCCTCCAAAGATCCCACCACACAGGGGTCACTGAATACTCTGAAGCTCACCCCAAGTCCTCAGGGAGTCAAATGTGTGGAAGTAGGACTATAAGTGCCACCTGCCTTATACCTGAACATGCCCCAAAGAAAGGTTAGGGTCTAAGTTCTTACTTCTGCCCAAATCTCCTGGGAGCCTCTTGTATGGATATAGGAACAATTCTTACCTTGGGTACCTTGCTGGCTCTGTAGGCTCTGTGATATCCAGGGACTGGCTGTATCCTGCTGGTGGGCTGGACCCCGACAAGCTCTGGCTTCTGTTAGCAGGTGGAAAGCAAGGTTGGCAGGTGGCGCTGAGGCTGACCTGTGGGAAACACTCCACTGGGCTTGCTGTTAAATTATTTACCCCAAAGATAGCTGAGTCATGGTTTTCCCCATCAAGTGAGTGTTACCTGAGCGGCTAAATCCAGTGAGCTAATCCACCGAGTTATACTGTAATCAGAGGCTCACAAGTAGTTACGGTTGTGTGGGCCTCCCGGAGGAACTGAGTGTTCATGCCTTGCAGCTCTTTAGCTATGAAGTTTCTGAAGTAAAATGCAGCAGATCTTCAACTACCTAGATGCTGGCTATCTGCTTTGTAGAGCCTGTTCTGGCTGGGCCACGCTGAAGTGTATACATTCTTGTGTGAGCAAACACATGCCTATTTTGTGTACAGTCCTAAGGGAAGGCTGTCAACACGCACTTTTTTTCTTATGGAGGCAGAGGTCCTGGGTTGACCTCAGGTCCAACCCTCCTTCTGTCCCCCATCCCCAACGATGACCCACTGTGATTGTGGTCAGATACTTTGCTCCCATGTACCTCTGTAGGACATGGTACCTGCCTTGTAAGGCTAGCCTGGAGATAAATGGTCCCATAAGCATTAGCATGAATTTAACCAGTGCTCTCAGGTTTGGGGCATGTTCTTGAGTTCTTTAAGATTGCCCAGAACCTCAGGTTCTGAAGTGAGTAAAGAGAAGTCTGATATTGTGCTTGAGGATACAGTGGTCCTGTATAACGGGCCCTGCTCTCTTCTGTGGGCCACTGTATTCTGGGTGCCCTGCCATCCTCGAGGGGGAGTGCCTTCATTGAGACTGGAAGGCCCAGCTGGCTTGGTCTGATGCCTCCAGAAGACTCAGCATTATGGGCAGTTTGCCCTGGGCCTGGGCAGTGAAGTTACAAGCTCTGCTTCTCTTGTCATCAGCGGTCTTGAGAGGTGTTTTCAGATCAGCAAGCATCTTGTAGAATCAGTGGGGACTCTGAGACTCCATTCCTCCAGCTCAGGGGACAGTAAGATGTTCAGAGTCCCTTATGGGCCACAAGTTGGAGACTCCTTTGGGAAGCCTGCTAACCCTGCGAAGTTCCTAGCATGGGCCTGGACAGAGCCCTATTTGGGGGTGAGAAAGGAATGGAATAAGGGTTGAGTGACCAGAGTGAGCCTGACTGTGAGAGTAGGCCAGACTGGGTGCTCTATGGGTTAGGTACCCTCCACCTTTGCTCCCCACCTTTGCTGTCTCCTCAGATTGGACTGATGCCCCTGGAAGAACCCATTTAGGCCCCTAGGATCTCCCTTTGCTTTGCCCTACCTGTGCAGGGCTGAGCCACTGTTTGCCCAGTGGCTGGGAGCTGTGGCTTACAGGAGCTGTTACTAGGTGGGTGTGGTGGGGTTAGTCAGAGCTGCTCCTCTTGGGGCAGATAAGGGGCTGCTCTGTGGTGGTGAGGGCAGCTACTGAGGGCATCATCAAATGATAACTTACCAGTTACCTGCAAAGGGGCCTCTGGGGCATGGACTGCTGCTATCTTGGAGGTCTTTGAGAAGGACAGAGCTGAAGTTGTAGAAGAGGAGTATACCTGTAGACACAGAGGTGCTGGGGTGAAGGCCAGGATGTTTGTGTTCCCCTTGGCAGCAGAGAAAAACAGGGCGGGAGACACAGGGCCTTACGTCATACCCCCTTCCGGTTTGTGTCCACATTAAGTGGAGATACAGTGAAGTCATGTCTGCCCCACGAAAATTGTGGGACTCTTGCCACAGTTCTCTGCCCCACTTGGTCCTCTGCCTCCACAGCTCTGTGTACTGATGGCTCTGAGAATGGATGCTGCAGTAGGTATGACCAGATCCACTGTCCTGACCCCATGTGTCCACTGAGCTGTCGAATCCTACTGGGCACACATAGGGCAGGGACATGAGGTCCAAAGGCCTGTCTGTGTGTGACCTGGTGATTTCCTTCCTATCTCTATGCCACTATTTAAATCTTGAGTGCTTTTATTTGTGAAGAAAACATTGTACCCTGTCTAACAGTACAAACAGGCAGGCCAGATCACCTCCAATACTACATCAGGATTTCTTCTGAATGATCTGGCCCCAGCCTGTGCCTTCCAGGGGCGTCCAGCAGAGTCTGAGAGATGATTTGGTATCTACCCCTCCCCAGTCTGGGAGCGGGTCCACAGACTAAGCTCTGTTCGCCACCAAGCCCTCCCATGTGTGTGTAGTTAAATTTTACTTCTGAAGGCACAAGCGGCTTCCAGCTCCCTCCTATCATCCTTAGGACAAACTGAGATAATATTCCTCCAAACTACAGTTTAGGGAACAAAAGAATTTATTGGGCTTACTAACAACATAGGGTGGTGATGGGGGTTATTTACAAAGGTGTGGGCGTGTGTGGGCTTCCTTCCTACATTCTGGTTGGGACCCTCTGACCCCTGGTGGTGGCCCAAGACGGCAAAGGCCACCCCTTCTCTCTGGCTTTCCTTGTCCCTGTCCTTAGTCCCGCCCCCTCATGCAGCTAAGTCTAACTGATTGGGTGGAAGAGGTGACTGATACCCTCTACCCCTTCCCTCCTATGGAGGGTCTGTAGTCAAAATTAGTTTGTGGTGATTGAAGCAAGTGGGTGAATCCCAGCTGGAGGAGAAGGCATCTGTCTACTGCTTGCCAGTCCAGCTTGCCAGGCGGAGGAAAAGCCTAAAGAACCCTCCACCCCTTCCTCTGGCTCTTACATTCTTTCTGCCAGCCTCTTCCACAAGAGTCCCTGAGCCTCGGAGGGGGTGACATAGATGTAGAACAATCCTCCATTGTGGCAGGATACTGAACCCTTGGGCCTTCTCATTTGTTTCCAAGACATGGCTGTTCATCCATCTCAGTGGTATTTTTTCTACTATAAAGACAAATAAAAAGAAGCAAGAACATCTAAACGAACATTGACTACTGTAATAATCTAACCTGTGGGTGTAAGTAAGCACAGATGCTTAGAAGATACCTTAACAGGTGCATCACATTCATCTAACAAAACAATTGCAATGGCTTCCCCACTGGGGCTTATGACTTCCCCTGTCATTGGGGGTTGTACCAGATGTGTGTTTCTCCCCAAGAAGTGAGACTTAAATCCAACCAGAAATTTGTTGGTTGTACATATATTAGTCAAGCCACTATTGCACCAGCAGGCACATCTTGCCTGGCATGTTGATAGTGCAGCATGAGGGGGTCCATCATTAAGCAGAACTTTTGGGGACCGTTCTCCCTTAATGATTCTGCTAAGCACCTCCTGGCACTGTGACCACCCGCCATCGGTGACAGGGAGTTTCCAGTTTAGTCACAGCCTCATCTCTCCCTCTCCTGCACTCATATCATGCTGTGTCTTCAGCAATGGGACGCTTACTGGCTTACTGGCTCTTTCTGGTGTGCAACCAACATTAGTGGCAATAGCCTCTATCGTTTTGAGGCCCTCCAGGGTCTCTCTGGCCAACAGTTCATGGGGGGCAACCCACCTCTGGTACTGGAATTTTTATTTATCAATTGTACAGTTTTTTTGGGAGCCTCTTTTTTTTATTTTTATAAGTATTTTGTTGTTTTCTCTGGCGTATACAGGATCAGGCTGTTGTAGACTTTTCCCAGCCATCCTGGTGGGTATTACTTGTGCCTTATTCGACCATAAAGTCCCCAGTAATTTTACAGCTGTGCTTGGTCTTTGTTTCATCAGGTGCACTTGATATTTCTCAAATGGGCTTCACATCTGTAAAACACTCAATGTGAAACACTCAGAGGTTAGTATTATAAACTAAATCGAATATAGGCAAGGTCTAACAGCGTGGAAAGGTTTTATTCATTTGTGTTAGTTGTTTTCTCAACAGATCTATGTTGGGTACGATCGCATGGATAAGAGTCATCAACTTAGTTTTTCACTATCTTAGTTATCTTTTTGGAGTCACTTCCCATCCTGGGGATTTTACAGGGAGTTTCCCTGTACCTTTTTATCCTTGATAAACTCACTGGGGCTGGCTCAAGTTGCCTGACCCTGTACCAGGCCAACTAGGAATAGGGCCCCTCTTGTCCCTGCTGCACTTGTTGGTTCCTCAGGTCAGGTAGGCCCTGGATCTGCCTCCTGGGTGTAGCCATTTTGGTTGTGTCTCCGTTGACTACATTGGCTGCTGGGGGAGGCCCTGGCTGGGCAAACTGCCTCCACCCCTAGCATAACTTTTCCCAGGAGAGAAATGTACCTTGTTTAATCTTCAGGGGCCTTATCCACCCCGGGACAGTTTTTATCTTCTGCATGTCTTGTGAACTATTTCTCGGGTTTTAAAGCCTTCCAGAAGCTCCTTACAGCATTTGGCTTTTTGTTAATTTTTTTTCTTTAGGAACTTGGGCTAGATACAAATCTTGCCACATTTGCCTTTGAGTAACTCAAACAGACCTCTTTCTCTGCTTTGTCTTTTTATATTTCTTTTAGGCTGCTCTACTATTTTGCAGACACATTTTACATACTGGTTTAAGTCACTTAGATCTGCCAAAGGTCTTTCCTACTTCACAAAGATCCTCTCCCACTAAGGGACTTAGTAAAACCATTAAAGCTCCATACAGATCTTGAGCTCCCTGTTGAATCAAGTTTTTCTTTAAATCTTTGGTGAACACAGTCTTATCTGGCCCAGTGAACTGGGCATCATACATTGCTTTTCTCATACCTAGTTCTCTCAATAACGTCTGCCCCTCTTCTATCAGCCCCTGCTGTCCATGGGAACCTCCATTGGTGATGACCAAGTATCTCTAATGGCTCGCACAAGCCAGTCCATCAGGGACTGCTTCCCCCTGTACTGCCTCGGGTTATGCAGCCTATGTCTCAAGGAGCAGCACTTAGACTAATATCATTTGCTCCCGTGTCCCATATCCTGATGGCTATAGTTCCTTGCGCCAGACCATTGTTAAGGTCTCCATTAGCATGTTGAAACATGATTTTTTTTTCCTTTCTTTGTATTAAAAGTCGAACCTGAGGAGCACCTTTAGCTATTTCTAGGTTGCTACCTTTCTCATCACTATCTGTCTTCTCCCATGGGTCCCATGTTTTGGGGTTCCAGGATGAACCTTGTATTACCAATCTAATCTGAGCTCTCTTCCCTCTCTGGCCCCCTAGCCATAAAAATGGCAAACTAAATCTCCATCTCTTTTTCTCTCTTATGTAATTTACTGGCAAGGCCAGAGGCCAACACTGAAGAGGCCAGTAATTCCTCTCTTTTAACGTTTTAGTCCTGTTTCTGCCCCCCCCCCCATGGCCTCTGCCCGGGACAAATCTTTTAATATGTAAAGATGCAGCCAAGCAGCATCTGTAGCTACTTGCTGAAATTTCGGCCCCTGCTCTACTTCCAAGGCTTGCAAAATTTGTTTCCATGGTCTTTAAAGCATCTCCATACACATGTGACAGCCTCCATCACTTTAAACAGCCTCACTATTTTATACCATTTGCAGGAGGAGGACAGCCATCCTGGGATTTCCTCCACTGACCTCATCCACTTAGATGGCCTCATTCTAGTTACACATCTTACTGTCCATTGCATTATCCATGTCATGGCTGCTACCCCCATTAAGCTTATGGAGCAAGCCCACCTTACTTCCTCTCCCACATTCTCCCCTCACCCAACTTTGCTTCGGGCGTTCCATTGCTCTTCCCAAATTCCTCCTTGGTTTTGTCGTCTGCTGGGCTATGTCAAGCGTAGTTAAATTTTACTTCTGGGAGGCGAGAGCGGCTTCTGGCTCCCTCCTCCCATCATCCTTAGGACAAACCGAGATAATAGCCAAACTACAGTTTGGGGAACAAAATAATTTATTGGGCTTACTAAGAGAGCAGAGGGTGGTGATGGAGGTTACTCACAAAGGTATGAGTATGTGTGGGCTTCCTACATTGGCCAGGACCCTCTGACCCCTGGTGGTGGCCCAAGACGGTGAAGGCCACCCCCTCTCTCTGGCTTCCCTTGTCCCTATCCGTAGTCCCTCCCCAACATGCAGCTAAGGCCAACTGATTGGGTGGGTGAGGTGACTGATTGCCTCTGCCCCTCCCCTCCTACGGAGGGTCTATAGTCAAATTAGTTTGTGGTGATTGAAGCAAGTGGCTGAATCTCAGCTCAAAGAGAAGACATTTGTCCACTGCTTGCCAATCTAGCTTGCCAGGCGGAGGACAAGCCTATACAGCAGCGAGCAACAGTGCATTGGCCACTTGTGCACGCCCATGGTGCGCTTCTCTCCACGCGCTGTCAGTCCCCCAACCCTATGCACAGCCCGCTCTCACAGGCTGTAGCGGGTTCACCCAGGCACTCACCAGCAGGCTCTAGCAGGGCTCACCCAGGCACTCATCAGCCGCTGGGGCCTGGGTCCTTCCCGCGCACGCGCTCTGCCCTGGGCGGGGCCTGGGGCAGCCAGAGATGCTGGAGCTGCTGCTTGCCTGCAGTGAATGGGCCCTTGTGTGGCCTGGCTGACGCTGCGCCGGGTCTGGCCACGTGGAGGCTTTCCTGCCAGAGCTGGGTTGTAGTCCTGCATGGTCTGCTGCCCAGGCCTCTCCGCGGTATATGGCATACAGGGCGTACACTTTACCTTACTGGCTCAGCCCCTCCCCCAGTTTCGGCTCTCAAAACCCCCATCCCAAAGGTAGCAGAGGCAGAGAGCGACGGACTTGGCAGACAGTGGGGACAGAGGATTGCTCCCAGGGTTTCCTTGACCTGGGGAGGCCCCAGGAGGTATCCAGGTGAGCACTCCCGCCCCCAACCCCCAATCTCTACATCTGTAGCTACTGAGGTTGGTCTGGCAAGCAGACACTCAGGTCCATGAAGGAAGGCAGGCTAGGGACATCTCTGATGTGGAAAATTGGCCCGGGGCACAGACCCTGTGGGGCTGCCCCCCTGGGGTGTGCACTCTGCCTGGTTTATGGAGAAGGCTGGAGCTGACAACAGCATCTCCCCCCAACACCTTAGGGACTTTGGAACAAGCTTTTAATCTTTATCTAAATGTTTGTTAGGTTTTATTTGCAACAAGTTGTGGTTGTTGGGTAGGAGGGAAGAGAACAGGCCTGTTATAGTCCCCTAAGCAGAGGTTCCAGCTCAGAAGCACAGAGAAGGTAGTCTGGGAGATGCAGGACCTGGACCTGTGGGCTGTGACCAAAATGACCATGTACAGTGAGGGGTTGATGTGCCTAGAATTGTTATTCCTCCTAGTGGTGGGCCAGTGATGGCTGGGTGGGCCAGATTCCACCTCCACAGTGGAAACCCTGTCCCTGAACATCCCTCTGGGGACAAACCCATGGGCTGCCATACATGACTGCTGGGACAACAGGTCTGTGGTGGTTTGAATGAAAATGTCCCCCATAGGCTCCAAGTATGTGGACATTTTGTCCCCAGATGGTGGCCCTGTTTTGGGAGGTTTTAGAAGGCATGGCTATCCTGAAGGACCATCACTGGGGGTGGGCTTAGAGAATTCTTAAGCCTTGCCAGATCTCCAGTTTCTCTCTTGCTCCCTTTGCCTGCTGGAAGATGTAGAGCTTAGCTTCTGCTGCTCCTCCTCCAGCCACCTCTGCCGCCATGCCTCCCCACCAAGACGGACTGTAATTCCCCCGGAACCGTAAGCCCAAATAAACTCTTCCTTTTATAAGTTGTTTTGGTCAGTGTTTCTATCACAGTAACAAAAAAGTGACTAATACAAGGTCTTTAGAGCTCTCAGACCCTGGCAGGCCCACCTGACCCCTCATACTTGCTGGCTTTTGCCTCCCAGCCACCTCAGCTGCAAAGTCAGCACTTGGGGCTGTTCTCCACCCCTCCATGAGAACTGTCAACCACAGCCACAGCCCCAAGCACCAATGCTTAAGCTCCTCCACCTGTCCAACTGCTCAAGCTAAAACCCAGGCTGTTGTCCCAGTATCCTGACCTCACTTCCGTCATATGCATTGCAGCCTCCTGCTTCCACCCCAATTAGCCACCACAGAGATCTTTCCAGAACATCGTGGCATTGCTCTGCTCAGCACCCTGGATGGCCTCCCGCTTTGCTCTGAGTCAGTGACCTATCCCCATGTGGCTACAAGCCCCCGCGTAGTCTCATTCTCAGCAGTATACCGTTATTCTACCCCAGCCAGCCAGCCATCTTTCTGCTACTTGACTACCATGAACTTGTTCCTGTCTCTGAGATGCACGTGCCTGTTCCCCACATGTTCTTTTAAAACTTTATTTATTTTTCTTTTAAGTGTATCCGTGCATGCAAGGCCTGTGGAGGCCAGAAGAGGACATCAGATCCTCTGGAACTGGAGTTACAGAGGGTTGTTAACTGCCATATGGGTGTTGGGAACTGAACCTGGGTCCTCAGCAAGAGCAGCCAGTGCTCTTACCCACAGAGCCATCTCTCCAGCCTGTCTTTACCATTTTTTAAAGTTTTCTTTTCATTTTTTTTCTTTTTAGATAGGGTCTTCCTGTAGTCCCAGCTGGCCTGGAACTTGCTATGTAGACCAGGCTGGCCTTGATCTCACAGAGATCCACCTGCCTCTGCCTCCCAAGTGCTGGGATTAAAGGTGTGCGCTACCATGCCCTGCATCCCCTCCCCCCATTTTTGAGACGGATCTCACTATGTAGCTCAAGTTGGCCTGGAACTCACTGTGTAGACCAGGCTAGCCTTGAACTCATAGAGATCTGCCTGCCTCTTCCTCCTGAGTGTTGGAATTAAAGGCGTGCACCACCATATCTGGTCCCCCACATGTTATTGCTGGTTCATGCCACCATTTGGCAGGTCTTTTTTCCATGACCTTCTGCCCCCTTCCCTTGCCAAACTTCTGATGTTTTAGTAAAGTCCAGGCAGCTGTCTGATTCTTGTCCTTCTCAGAATGTGAGCCCCATGGGAAGTGACCCTGTCTGGTATGTGGGCTGGAGACCCTTCATCTCCTTTTCCTGCCCATCTATGTTGCCTTTCAGTATGGGAGGGAGGAGACTTGTGGGTGAAATTTGGATCCTTGGTCTTCAGGAGTACAGAGTCAGAGTAGAGTGCCCCCTAGATTTTGCCTGGCTCCTGTCCCACCCCATTCCCAGTTCAGCTATCTTTGAGATGCCTCATCACCTCCCCACGCACTAATCCCCTCTTGTTTTACCTTTCCTGTAAGACCTGCCCGTCTCTCCCACCCGAGTGTCATGGCTGATCTGAGCCTCATGCCAAGTTCTTCAATCTCTTGAAGATTTCATGCACACATACTTATTTAGACTCAATGATGAGAGACAGAAGCTGCCATAGTCCCAAATCTTTGTTGTCTTGAAGGCTTAGTGTGGGGTTCTGTGTACACACACTTGTGCATACTCAATTGTGGCCGTCTTCCAGTGTTGGTCTTTTCCAAAAGGAAAGCCCATCAGGAAGCCTGGATCCCCCCTGGAGACTTGAGGCCCCCACATACTTGAATATGACCCCAGTTCCAACCCTGGGGGGATGCACTGCTACTCTCCAACACTGACCTTTCAGCAGGGGCCTGTCTGGGCAGGGCCTGACTTACAACTTCACTCACCTGGATGCATTTCTGGACCTTCTCATGGAGAACCAGCTTCTTCCGGGTGAGCAGTGGCCCTGTTTTCTCTCTACCACCTCCCCCTCTGGGTTTTGGCTAGTAGTGGTTGCTCAGCAATGGCTGAGGTGCCAGTGAGGTGGAGCCTGGGCTGGGAGGGGCATGAGTGTTGGGCAGTGGGGCAGCCACCCCCTGTGCTGCAGGATTTGAGCTGATGGGCAGCCCCTCAGGGCACTTCACGGACTTTGAGGACAAGCAGCAGGTGTTTGAGTGGAAGGACCTGGTCTCTCTCCTAGCCAGGAGATACATTGGTGAGTGGGAGGGCTTTGGGGCTGTGGTGGGCTTCCCGGGCAGGTTCTTCTCCCTTAACCCAAGCTACCTGGTACTATTCTCTGTCATGGACATTCATACCCTCCCACCAGAGGTGCCAAATAGGGGAGAGAGATTCACCTGATGGGGGGGTGGGATGCTCACCTAGAGCCAGATACCTCCATCAAGTGGAAACCCCCAGCCCTGGGTCCAGTTCCTGGGAGACACCAGGTAGATTCTGACATCTCCAAACCTGAGGGTGGTACCCCCAGTGTGCAACGGCAAGGGCACTCTGCAGGTAGGTATGGGCTGACAGATGTTTCCAAATGGAACTTCGAGACATGGAACGAACCAGACCACCATGACTTTGACAATGTGTCCATGACCAGCCAAGGTAGGCAACACTTTGCCAGGTCCTGTTGGGTGGGATGCATGGGAGAGTGAGCCCAGGCCCTCAGGACCCTCCTACCCTAGGCTTTCTGAACTACTATGATGCATGCTCTGAGGGGCTGCGCACTGCCAGCCCCACCTTGCAGCTGGGTGGCCCTGGGGACTCCTTCCACCCCCTGCCAAAGTCACCGCTGTGCTGGAGCCTTCTGCATCACTGTGCCAATGGAACCAACTTCTTCACGGGTGAGGTGGGCATGCGACTGGACTACATCTCTCTGCACAAGAAGGTGGGTGTAGCCCCTACTCTGCCCTGCCTGCTGCAGGTTGAACCTTCACTGATGTGTGTGCTGGTTACAGGGTGGGGGCAGCTCCATCTCCATCCTGGAGCAGGAGGTGGCAGTCATGGAACAGATCCAGCAGCTCTTCCCTAAGTTCAAAGACACCCCTATTTACAATGATGAAGCAGATCCTCTGGTGGGCTGGTCACTGCCACAGCGTTGGAGAGCAGATGTGACTTATGCAGCCATGGTCGTGAAGGTGGGCCTACAGGCTTTACCCATCTAGCCTCAGGAAGCCTTCCTCCTGGTGGGGGGAAGGGCAGCATGGGTGGCCAGTGTCCGAGGTCCCAAATGCCCTGATGCCCACAGGTCATCGCACAACACCAGAACCTGCTGGTTGGTAACACCGGTTCTTCGGTGCATTATGCACTCCTAAGCAACGACAATGCCTTCTTGAGCTACCACCCACACCCTTTCTCACAGCGCACGCTGACTGCCCGCTTCCAGGTCAACAACACCCAGCCACCCCATGTGCAGCTATTGAGAAAACCCGTTCTCACTGCCATGGGGCTGCTGGCCCTGCTGGGTGAGTTATGCCCTGCTTCTGCCCATGGCAACATGGCATTTCCCAGGGTGGGTAAGGATCAGCACAGAAGAACCTGGGTGGCTGGACTCAGAAGAGCAGCCTGTGCAAAGGCCCTGGGGCAGGGGGACTATGGATATGCTTAGCAGGGCCAAGCATACCACCTCCAGGTGCTGCGTGGGATTCTTAGAGGTTGCCTTCCCAAGTTTCCATCCGATCCCCTACTCCTACAGTCTGAGCAGTATGACAGGACCTCCACGTCTAGGACAGGCATTGGGAAGGTGGAAGCAACAGCCCCAGTCCTCTGTCCAATCTGTAGATGGAGAGCAACTCTGGGCAGAGGTGTCACAGGCTAGGGCTGTATTGGACAGCAACCATACAGTGGGTGTTCTGGCCAGCACCCATCACCCTGAAAGCTCCTCTGAGGCCTGGCGTACCACAGTGCTGGTCTACGCCAGTGATGACACCCATGCGCACCCCAACCACAGTATCCCTCTGATTCTACACCTGCATGGAGTGTCCCCCGGTCTTGGTAAGTGGGGTTCTGAAGGAGGTTGGGAACCCAACAGGGTTGGGCTCATTAAGGCAAACCACAGTGTCTGGCTCCACAGGGCTCGTCTATGTGGTATACTACCTAGACAACCAACTCTGCAGCCCCCATAGTGAGTGGCAGCTCATGGGTCAGCCTGTCTTCCCCTCTGCAGAGCAGTTCCGACATATGCGAATGGTGGAGGTTTGTAGGCAAGTGGGAAGGGAAGGAAGGGGTCCTCGGGTCCTGGGGAAGTTTGCCAACCATATGCTCCTCCCTTGTTCCCAGGACCCAGTGGCTGAAGCACCGCGCCCTTTCCCCGACGGGGGCCGGCTGATGCTGCACCGGAAGCTTCCGCTTCCCTCACTCCTGCTGGTGCACGTGTGCGCACGCCCCTTGAAGCCACCAGGCCAGGCAAGTGACAGTCTTCCCCCTCATCTGTGAGGCTGCCTGTCTCACCCCTTCACAGCCACTCCCTCCTCGTAGGTCACCCGGCTCCGTGCACTGCCCCTGACACGAGGGCAGCTGGTTCTGGTCTGGTCAGATGAGCACGTGGGCTCAAAGTGCGTGAGTGGAGTTGTTGCCCTTCCCTACGCCCTAACCCTTGCACTTCTGGCTGCAGTGCCTTGTGGTCCCTCAGCATGCATCCAGCTCCCCTTCCACATGCACTGCATAAGCCTGCCCAGATCCACTGTGTCTGAGATGGGGGCCACCTACAGGGGACATTTAAAACCACAGTTAGCCTCTAGTCCTCTCTCCTCTCTGTGGCCTGCCATCATTTTGAGAGTACCCAGGGACCCTGAAGGGAACAGGGCTGTGGATCTACCCTATTCTGCCCACTTATGCTCTCAGGGTCTACCTGCCCCAGCTTTGGTACTGACCCAGACCTCCCTAGGTGCCTGTGGACTTACGAAATCCAGTTCTCCCCAAAGGATGAGGCGTATGCTCCAATCAGCAGGAGGCCATCCACCTTTAACCTCTTTGTGTTCAGCCCAGGTACATCCAAAACCCTGGCCTTGGTAGCTGCACAGCTGAACCTCAGCACAGTATGGTGTGGGGTGGGTCTAGAAGATTTAGGAACTCCAGAATACATGCGCTTCTGTGTCTACAGATTCGGCTGTGGTCTCTGGCTCCTACCGGGTGCGAGCATTGGACTACTGGGCCCGTCCGGGCCCCTTCTCAGACCCTGTGACTTACCTGGAGGTCCCTACCTTGTGAAGGTCACTGGCTCCTGATGACTGGAGAACCTGTAGTGACTGGTGAATGGGGACAGCCCAGGGTAGACTGGACGACCACTGGCTGGTCAGTTGGCCATCAGCTCCTTTTGTTGTCCCCATTCCCTTTTAAAGTACCTTTCTCTACCTCAGCCTTGGGGTCAGCCTCTGTGGATGGGTCCTGAGGAGGGTCTGGATGGAGTGATCTTTGCCCACCTTCCTTCCTTTTAGAACCCTGCAGCTTGGGTGGGAAGCATCTGGAGGGCCACAGGGCTCTGCTGGGTGGACTCGGGGCATTTTGTTTGCTCAGGGCCAGGAGTCCAGCTGGAGGAGGCAGTCCAGTTCCTGCTCCCAGTTCTCTCTCCTTTCTGTTTAGGCCACTCAAGGGAGGAGCCCCTAGACCCCACCACAGTGGAAGTGGGATAGGATGTCCTTGCCCAGTCCAGACTGTCCAACAGCAGAAAAGGCTGACAGTGTCCTCTTTGGTCTATAACTGCCCCCCCACACACACACCATACAGTCGAGTCATCTTGGCCCCATACCTGGCCCTTGGAGGAAATAGGATGCTCAGATCTTTGGTGACTGTTTACAGGGATGGAGGTGGGGTAGGGTAGGGCAAGAAAGCCACCATGTGGTCATAGTTGCTCCCCAGGGCAGAAGGAGCAGATGGAAGAGCTATGACAGTTCCAGACAAAGGTGTGGAGAAAGGCTTCAAACCAAAGATCAGAAAGCTTCTTCCCAGAGCACAAGACCAGTCTGTGGATCTAGTGGGTTGGAGCCTGAGAGTGACAGGCCCCAATTTTTCCTTCTTCCCACTCTCCAGTGTCCCCTGAGCTGTCTTTGACCCATAAGGACTTTCCTCAGCTGAGGACTGAGGCACAGAGACCCAAGATACTCCTCTGGAGGCTGCTGTGCTGGGACTCCAGTGGAGTGGGGACATGGGTTTATCCACCAGCTTCTCTGTACCTTCTGGACCTTCATCCAGGTACAAAGCTCATATCTTCTGATATCTACGGACAGTAGTGCTGGCAAAGCTCTATTTTCTGTGTCCCCTCTCCATGTGGCCAAGTTGCCAACTCTGCTATGACAGTGGGAGAGGTCAGGCAGCCCCAGGACACTGATGCTTCCCTACCCTCTAGACTCAGTGGGAGGCTTCAGACTTGTTATTGGTGGTCAGGCTTCCAGCTGTACCAAGAGCCACTAGGGAAGTCCACTTTGTCCCTGTTGTCATAGCCACTCAGCCAGGGCCCATGGTTAGACATCTCCTGTTTATAAGTATCCTTGGTAGAGTGGATGCCTTTGGGGGTACAGACATTTCTGCCTGTTTTGGGAGCCCACACATTTCCCTTTTCCCTAAGCCTTATCTCTGGGTTTCCTGACTTTGTCTTTCTGGGTCTAGCCAACAATCAACCTTTTGGATATTGCTTGATGGAGAATCACGCTTGGGCTATGTATTAGCTACTTTTCTCATCGTTGTGACAAAGCACCTGGCAGAAACAACTAAAGGAGGAAAGATTTAATTTGGTTCACAGTTTCAGAGGCTTCAGCCCATGGTTGTTTAGGTCTGTGTGCTTGGGCAGAGCATCACAGTGCTAGGAACATGTGAAGGGGACTTGTTATCTCATGGTGAACAATCAGCACTGCATGAGGACGGGGACCAGGGCCGGGTGTAACATTCAAAAGCAACGACCTACTGTCTCCAGCTAGGACTCACTGAATTTTCTAAAACTCCCCAAAATAACATCACCTACTGGGAACCAAGCATTCACCACATGAGCCTGTGGGGAGCATTTTATATTCAAACTATAAAATTCAACCCCTGGCTTCCAAAGGCTCATGGCCATCTCATAATGTAAAATGCATTTAATCCACCTTCAACAGTACCCAAAGTCTTACCAGTTCACTGTTCACAAGTGTACATTGTACTTGAGAGACTCAGGTGGGTAAAGTGCTTGCTGTGCAAGCATGAAGACTTGAGTTCAGGCAGCTAGCACTCATGTAAAAGTTGGGTGTGATAACACATGCCTGTTATAACCCTAGTGTTGGGGTTGGGGGGCAGAGACAGGCAGATCTGGGGGCTTGTTGACCATCCAGTCTACCTGAAATGGTGAACTCCAGGTTCAATGACAGACCATGTCTCAGAAAAGCTATAGAGGAAGACAGCCAGTGTTGACCCCAGCCTACACCACTCACACACACACACACACACACACACACACACACACACACACACATGCGTGTGAGGGGAGGTCCTAAATTCAATGCCTCTTCTGAGTCTCAAGACAAACTCTTAGCTTGAGCCTCTGTAACATCAAAAGGAAAGTATGTACTTCTCAAATCAGTAGCACAGAGTAAACATTCCCATTCCAAAAGGGAAGAGCAGGCAAGCAAGGAAGGATTGGACCAAAGCAAGACCAAAGCACAGGAAGGCAAACAATAAAGCCTGCAGATCTGTGTTCAGCATTGGGGCACATGGTATTGTGATGTGAGTTCCAATGGGCTTAGACAGCCCTGTCTCTATGGCCTTGCCATTTCAGCCCTTATGGTCTCTCTCTTGGGCTAGGCTTACTTATTTCCTGCAGCTTTCCTTAGCACAATCTGTGTTCCTGGCCTCTCCAACATCCCACATTCTCCTTTGCAGCTTAGGATTTACCCTTACAACTTTACATACAATTCTCTCAGGCACTGCCTTCAAGGATCCTGGCCTAGACTCTAAAGCTTTCCTTTGAAATCTGGATAGAAGCCTCCTCAGCCCTATAACTGTAACCCTGGTATTCTGCCTACTAAATCTGTATGCCATGGATGACAAAAAGGTCTGCCACCAGCTTGAATGGTAACTCAAGGCCCTTGGAGTGCCTGGTTGCTTAGCCCCAAGTCCCTGGACAGAACATCCAGGGGACAGTGGCAGGTAGAGTAAGGGGTTGTTCACCTAGTAGGCGATGAGAATCAGAGAGAAAGGGACTAAATGAAATCTTCAAAAGCATTCCTATTGCCTTTAATTATAGCACTTTGTAGGCATAGGCAGGTGGATCCCTGTGAGTTAGAGGCCAGCCTGGTCTACATAGTGAATTCCAGGCCAGCCAGGGGCTATACAATGAGACCCTGTCTTAAAAAAAAAAATTCCTTCTTTGACCTATTTTGTCCAACTAGGTCTAACCTCCTAAAGTTTCTAGAACCTCCCAAAAAAGTACTACCATCTGGAAACTCAGTGTTTAACACATAAGCCTGGGGGGTGTATGTAATATTCAAAATGGACTGGATTTGCCACCTTGGTTCTGCCCATTGGAAAACCCAGTACCCTGTGTGCTAGGACACAGCTGCAACCCTTTCCAGGTGGCCTGCTGGACACAGATGTCCATAATCATTTTGTATGTTCTCTCTAGTAGCCCAGGGAAGCCCAACAACAGAAGTTTTTTTTAAAAAAATTGCCCAGTCATGTGACACAAATCTTTAATCCCAGCACCATAGAGGCAGAGGCGGGTGGACCTCTGTGAGATTGAAGATAACCTGGTCTACACAGCAAGTTTCAGACCAGCTGGGGCTACAGGAAGATCTGTCTCAAAAAACAAAACAAAAAAATTTTTTTAGATTTTTCATTTTATGTGTGTGAATATTTTGTCTGCATGTATGTAAGAGAACCACATGTGTGCAGTGCCTGGAGAGACCAGAAGAGGGCATTGGCTCCCCTGGAACTGGAGCTACGGATGGTTAGGAGCCAAACTTTTGTCCTCTGCAAGAACAGGTCCAGTGCTCTTGACCACTGAGTCATCTCTCTAGCCCAGTCAGCGTACAGAAGTTTGTGCTGTAACCTGGACCTGCAGGATGCTAAGCCCTTCCCAGCCAGCATTATCTACTGTACAGGAAATTGGTCAGAATGGGGTGCTCAGACATAGTGCACGACTACACCCAAATCCAGAGTTTCCCTCTTAGAAGTAAATGACCTCTTGTGGTGGTCCCCCACCCTTCTTTTTTCTTCAGCCAAGCGTGGTGGCACAAGTCTTTAATCCCAGCACTCAGGAGGCAGAGGCAGGTGGATCTTTGTGAGTTCAAGGCCAGCCTGGTCTCCATAGTGAATTCAGGCCAGCTGCAGCTACAGGGAGACCCTGTCTCAAAAAGACCAAAAAATTTTTTTCTTTATTATCTTTATTTTATGTGTATGAGTGTATTGCCTGCATGTATATGTATGTAAGTGTGCCTGTGTTGCACAATGCCTGCAGAGGTCAGAAGAGGGCGTCAAATTCCCCTAGAACTGGAGTTACGGATGGTTGTTAGCCACTGTATGGGTGCTGGGAATTGAACCCAGGTCCTCTGAAAGAGAAACTGGTGGTCTTAACTGCTGAGCCATCTCTCCAGCACCCCTTTTTTTCTTGATACAGAATTTTATGGAGCCTAGGATGGCCTTGAACTTTTTACTCCTGCCCCAGTCCTCCCTAGCACCAGGATTACATGTATGCACCACAGTGCCTAGGCAGTGACCCCTCACTTTAAATAAAATGTGAATCCTATTACATAGGATTCCCAAAGCCTTCCCTAGAGGATCCTGAAACTTTTAGGGCTTTTCTCTCCCACCCCCTGGGAAGCAGGCTACCAAGCCCAGTGAGTATGACCAGCAGGTTGCATTTGACTTTGGAAGAGTGAGTGACATCACCAGGCAAACACTGATGTATGCTGACACCCATTATATGGAGACAGAATGATGATTACCTTTTTTAAAAAAGTCTTTTTGGAACAGGGTCTCCCTGTGGTCCCAGCTGGCCTGAAACTCAATGTGTAGACCAGACTGGCCTTGAGCTCACAGAGATCCACCTGCCTCTGCAACCAATACCTGGCCTTGCTGATTCCATCTTGAGACAGAGCACTTTTCAGTGGAGAATCTGGTATGTTAGGCAGCCAGCCCTCAGCTATGGTGGGTTTGTTTTTTCTGCCAATTAAATAATTAAAAGGCAGGAAAGAAGTGTTATCGAAAAGCTTGAGGAGTCTGGGCAGAGCCATCATATGATACCTGGGAAATTAGGGTCCACTCTTGGAATCCTTAGCCTCATTAATAAAATAATTTAGGAATTGACACAAACAAGCTCAAGGACAAAAAACAGACTCAAACGGAAGCTCGAGGACAATTTATAAAAGGTTAAAAGGGAAACTCCAGGGCAGG